ACTCAATTAAAGCAAACAGAACTCCCAGCGCAGGCGGGTGCTGAGCTCGGGGTGCCGGGGAAATGAGCTCCGTAAATTAGGGCTGGGATGTGTGGAAGTGTTGAAAAGGGATCAGCTGTTCCCCAGCTCGGCGGGGGCAGAGCGCTGGGAGCGCCCAGTTCTTCAGGAAGGTGGGATTTTCTCCCAAAAATCCATCCCAAAGGAGATTCCTGCCCTCGGGAAGTGTGGCTGGATGCTGCCAGGGTGGCTTTGGCTGCATCTCCGGGACCGACAATTCCCGTTGCACCGGGAAGCGATGCCAGAACTGATGAGGCTCACCATGACCTGCTGGGATTGTGGGCTGGGAGATTTCCTTCCCTCAGGAAGATCAGATCCTTCGGGATCTGATATGTTTTATCCTTATTTTAGCTGTGGTTTATCCATGTTTTACCCGTGCTTTATCCATGTTTCATCCCAGTTTTCCGTTCCACTTTAAGGGCAGTAATTCCAAAGGAGTCATTTATAAAATTCCCCACTTTTAGGCCTCATCAGTGATTCCGTCCCTCAACCCCTGCCCTGCTCCATCCTTTGGGATCAGGGTTGTGGTGGTTGGGAGCTCTGTAGGGAGGTGGGATCCCAGCTCTGCCTAGGCACATTCCACCGGGATTTTATTCCCTCGTTTTCCATGGAAAGAAGGAAGGGAGGGAGGGGACAAGTGGGGGGGCAAAGTGAATTAATCAGCTTAGGGTCAGCGCAGGAAAAAACGCAGCTTAAATTGGTAATCCCCGGGCTGGAGATCAGCTCAGAGCTGTGAAATCAACGTGGGCTTTCCTCCTTCCCCCTCTCCCACCTCCGAGCTCGGGGCAGGACCCCGGCGTGGCCTTTGCACCCTGGTTTGGTGTCACTCCCTGATCCAAAGCTTTCCAGGAAACACCTTGAGCCAGATGTGTGGGTTTGGGACACCTCTGGGCCATGGGGAGCAGAGCTGGGCTGGGATCCTGCGGGATGAGACCGTCATCACCTCCCTGGGGACAGGCACGGAGGGTTTGCAGCGCTTTTCCCACCCTGTGAACAGTTTATTCCGCCCTGGAATGGGAGACAGGTGTGGGAATGAGGAGGGGACCCCTGGAATCCCTTTTATCCCGGGGATCCGGTCTCTGCACACCTCTGTGGGCACAGGAGGTGCCTCAGAGCATCCCCTCCCCTGCAGCAAATCCAGATCAGCTCCTTTGGAAGATCCAGGGATCACTGGGATCACCAGGATCCAGAAACCAAGGGGAGCTGCTCAGCCCCTGCCTGCCCACCGTGAGGGGCTCCGGAATTCCAGCAGGAAAAGCCGGGAATTAAGAATTCCCTGGTGCTCAGGGAATGGCTCAGGCCCATCCCTCAGCCTGGTTTGTCACTCTGGGGACACTTCAGTCAATGACCCAGAACTGTCACGGCTGCCAGAGCCTTCCTGAAAGCCAGGGCTGGCCCAGCCTGATGTCACCCCGTGCTCGTCACCCTGCTGCAAAAATGAAGGAGAATGGGACTTTCTTCATTCCTTGCCCTGCCTGTCATTTTTTCAGGATTTAGAACAAGTGACACACGGATTTCAAGAACCAGGGTGGCCTTTTCCTGCGGGGAAGGAGGGGAAAATTGCTCGAAAGAGCAGGAGGCAGAACAGGTTGGAGTGTGTGAACAAGAAAGTGCTCAGGGGTGTGGCAGGGGGGTGAGATGCTCTATTTTTAGGCTTCCACCTGTGCTCAGGTTCGGGGGGTTTGGTCAGGGCTGGAATTCGAGGAGGGAGCTGCAGATGGAGCTGGGAGCTGGGTGCATCCCTCTGGGAATGAGCCTCTGGCAGGACTCACCTGTGGCATCCCTGGGTGTCCCCTGGGATGCAGCCAGAGCCATCCCCTTCCAGATCCAGGGGTGCTCTGCGGTGCCCTGGGCTCCTCCCTGCAGCTCCTCCTGCCCCTCAGCTGCGAGGGTTCTGTCCTGCCACATCTCTGGGGAGCTGTCCCCCAGCCTGGGCTATTCTGGGGTGTCAGAGGCAGGGTTTGGGGGGTCCCATCCTGGCACTGAGCATCCCCCCTGCCCCCGGGGGCTCTGCCCGGGTGTCTGTGAGTCAGAGCCGGGCTCTCGGTGACTCAGGGAGCCGCCAGCGCCTGTCTGGGCCGGGTTATTCATTAACACCTTCCCAGCAAGGGAACAAAGCGCTCCTCCCTCCCAGGAGCTGCGGTGACACCTCTGCCCTGCCCGCTCGGGATTTTGGCAGGGTTTGGGGATAATCCCTTGGGACAGGCTCTGGGAATTCGGCTGTGGCTGTGGCAAGGGGCTGCCCCGAGCCTGGCTGAGCCCTCCAGGCTGGTTTAGATCCTCCAGGAGTGAGGCAGCTGCTCCAGCCCTGGCACCGAGCTCACGCAGGAACCCACGGAGAGGCTGTGGCTGCCCCATCCCTGGAGGTCAGGCCAGGCTTGGAGCAGCCGGGACAGTGGGATGTGGCAGGGGGTGAAACTGGATGAATTTTAAGGTCTCTTTTCCCCTAAACCTCTCCATGGCTCCGTAGTGCAGCGCATCCCGCAGTGCTGGTGATGCAGGAGGCAGCGTGGCGAGGGCTCCTTCCCAAGGATCCCAAATTCCCAGCCCAGGGCGGGCTGGGGGTGTGAGCTGGCCCGGCCTGGGGGTTCTGCCTGGGGGGGAGCAGGGAGGAAGGAGCTGGGAGGATTCCCTGGGGAGATGGGACACGTGGGGAACGATGGACACAGACATGCCAGGACTTCCCTTCCCTTTCTCCAGGATTTTGGGGCCAGGCTGAGCCTGCCTGGCTGTGGGTGCAGGGCCAGGGCAGGAGGAGCTGAGCAGCTCTGCTGGGACCAGCTCCTGCAATCGGGCTGTGGCTCTCCAGCTGCGTTTTTGTTAATCCAGCCCTTTGGACGGGGAAGAATTCCGGCAATAAAAGCGGAATTGGGGCATGTCTGAGCAGGGCCAGGGGTCTGAGGGAGCAGCAGGGAGGTGGGAGCTGCCAGAATCCTGTCCCTGCCTCTTGGATCCCTTTCCCGTTTGGCTTTGCTGCGCCCACAGTTCGTGCTCTGGCTGTCTGGGGATGCTCCCACCCTCCACACAATCCCCGTTCCGTTCCCGTGCCTTGCCCTGCTCCTGGAGAACGGCTTTGGGCAGGGCAGGAGGCAGATCCCCATCCCAAAACCTGCGGGGCCTCGCTCCTGCTGCAGCTCAGCCCCTCCTCTGCTGGCTCGGGGTGGATCCTCCGCTCCTGCCGGTGCTGATCCCGTTCCATCCCTGCGCTCCGGGGATGCTCTGGGGGGACCAGAACCCCGGCACTGCTGTCCTCTCCCCGACGGAGGCAGATGATCCCTCCTGGGGATCTCGGGAGGCACCTGGAACGTGTCGGGCTGTGAGGGGACAGGTCACACCCGGGACGTGCCCATGTCCCCAGGACGGGCAATTTCCCCCTGGGAACTGCAGGCACAGAAAGCTCCCAAGGTCCTGTCAATGCAAGCTCAGACACAGGGCTTGATTTAAGACCTTGGAGAAGGCTTCCGGATTTAGAATCATAAATTAGAATGTGAGTTTAAATAGAAAGACACGAAGTTAGGCTGTAGGAAGTTTTAAGGTTTTGAAGTTAAGATACAGAAGTAGTTATAAAGGCAATTAGAAGTTTAAGGTATAACAAGTAGCTTTGTGTGTCATTGGATGATTGGTTAAGAAAGTTCTCACTGCAGCAGAGACATATAAAACAAATTAATTAATTATTAATTTAGTTATTTATTATAATTATTTATTGGTGTGAAAGTAGAATCATTATTTTGTGGCATTAAATTAACCTTTAAAAACCCTTGTGACCTGTAGCCTCGTGACCACTGGCCAAGAGCATCTGCTGAATAAGGTGAAGATGTCCTCCCTCCTTCATTAGTCCATAGAAAAAGAATAATAAAATAATAATTCATGTTTTAACACATCTCCCTGTGGTGCTGTCTCTCAAAATCCTGATATCTCCTGGTGCCTCCATCCCTGAGCCCGTGCTGGTGTCCCCAGCAGGGACAGGGGACACAGCTCCATCCTGAGCCTGTGCTGGTGTCCCCAGCAGGGACAGGGGACACAGCTCCATCCTGAGCCTGTGCTGGTGTCCCCAGGATGGGACAGGGGACACAGCTCCATCCTGAGCCTGTGCTGGTGTCCCCAGGATGGGACAGGGGACACAGCTCCATCCTGAGCCTGTGCTGGTGTCCCCANCGTCACCCCCGGGCTTTGCTGCGGTTTCGGGGGGCCCTGGGGGGCTGTGAGCTGCCAGGGGTGCGGTTGGAGCCTCCGGGTGTTCTCTGGGATGGCAGCACCGTCCCTGGCTGTGGTGCCACACGGGTGCCCAGAGCCCGGGGATTTGGGGTTGGTGCCCAGAGATGCTCGGGAGGGATCTCTGGGGTGCCACCCAGAGAGGGATCTCATGGCCACCACCGATGTCTGAGCTCGCTGCTCATCATCCCAGATCCCGCTGTTCTCTGCTCCCAGAGCCCGGGGATTTGAGGTGGACGCCCTGCAAACCCCAGTGATGCTCCTGAGAGGACTCTGGACCTTCTCAGGGGGCACTGGGTGCCCCTGGGGTGCCACCACCGATGTCTGAGCCCTCTGGCTGTCCCAGATCCCGCTGTTCTCTGCTCCCAGAGCCCCGGGATTTGGGGTTGGTGCTTTACAAACCCCAGTGATGCTCCTGAGGGACCTCTGGGGTGCCACCACCGATGTCTGAGCTCCCTGCTCATCCCAGATCCCATCTGCAGGGACCCCCAGCCCCGGGGAGTTTGGGGTGGGTGCCCTGCAGAGCCCCACCATGCCCGAGAGGAGAACAGGAGCATCTGCAGCTGCTCTCAGCTGCGGGAGTGCACAGGAGAGGTTGGGAAGAGGAGGTTAAAAAGGCTCTGGGGCTGCCACTCCCTCTCCTCTTTCCCCCATCTCTCCAAACACGGGATTTGGTGCTGGGGAAGGAGCAGCCCCCACTCCAGCCCACTAACGCTGTTTTTCCTTCGCAGGGCCCGTGCTGGAGGCTCGGGGTGAGGGCCAGAGGGGACAGCCAGGACACGCAGGAGCAGCTCCCGAGGCTGCGGCTGCAGCTCAGGGACAGCGATGGAACCTCAGGGCTGGGAGAGGTTCTTCCCTCGCCTCCACACCCGGAACCTGCCCGGGCTCCATCCCCTCCCCGTGAGGAGGATCCCACCAGGAGCTCAGCTCCTGCCACACGGAACTGACAGAACTCCGTTTTCTGCTGGCCTTTGGGGATTGTCCTCTTGGATCCTGGTGATGGATGGATGGATGGTGAAGAGCTCCTGGCTCAAGCAGCAGCTCAGTGCTTTCCTCTGGCAAGGACCGAGCGCTTGCCCAGTTTCCAGTGGATTTTTTTGGTCTTTATTTTTACCCCTCTGCTCTTTTTTAAAAAAATTTTTGCTGTTTTTGGGGGTTTGGGTGTTTCCTGTGGATACTGGAGCTGCAGTGGATCCCGTGGTGGGAACTGGAGCCTTTGGAAGAGCAGGAGCTGAGCTGGTGCTGGGGTTCCCAGCCCCCTGAGCTGGGTGGCCTCGGGAGGGTCCTTCTGCCACACCTGGAACATCCCAGTGGATCCCAGCCCAGGTGGGAGCGGGAAGCAGGCGCAGGAACGGGGGAAAAGCCGAACCTCAGTGAGGGGAATGTCCCAATGAGGGCAAAGTCACCCCCAGAGACAATTAAATTACATTTAATAAACCCCTCTGGCTCCGTGAGTGCTGGATGTTGTTTTCCATTTGCCACATTTCCAGGGGATTTTGGGGATGCCTTGGATTGTCCAGGAAACCTTGAGAAACTCCTGTCCCAACAAAGCCAGCCCAGGAATTTAACACTTTTATTTTGCAGGAAAGTTCTTCCCTGCCCTTTTCCCTTTTCCCTTTCCAGCCTTTAACCACCACTGCCATCCCTCCTGCTCCAGAAGCCACTGAAATGCAAATTATTTGCCCTAGAATCCTGTTGTTAATTATCCCTGGATTCTGTTCTCTCCTACCCTGTGAGCACCGGAAGGTGCCGTGTGGAAATCGAACATAAAAGGGATATTTATGGAGTGGAAATGTTTATGATAATTAATGTTTTAGGATTTAGAACGTTATTTAACCAAAAAAAAGGGTTTCTGTCATGTAAAAAGCACAGTGGCCTGGTGAGCATGGACTCCAAATAATTATTTGGGAGCAGCCAGGAAGTTTTTCCCAGGATCATTTAGGCTGGAAAAGGTTTCTAAGACCGAGTCCCACCTTGTCCATTAGACCAGAGCTCCCACTGTGCCATCCTTTCCCAACACAATTTCAGCACAAAATCCCGCCTGGATCCGTTGATTTCAACCCCAGGGACAGAGCCAGGGATGGCCTGGGGGGATCCCAGCGCTCGGATGTGGAGGTTTTGGAGTTCCTAAGGAATATTTCCCTCAAAGGATCGCCCAGCTCCGAGCAAACACGGCCGGGGAAGGGCGGGACCTTCCTGGGTGAGCAGCTGGAGAACCAGCCCGGCTTTCCTCCCTCCCAGGAATCCCAGAGTGGCTGCACGGAGAAATCCGCCAGATTTATGAGTTTGCTTTCCCAAGTGCAAATATTAACCCTGGCCGGCCGGGCCCGGGGCAGGAATTCTGGAGTCCTGCAAGGAATTCCCTGTTCCTCCTCCAGGCTGGGAGAGCTTTGGGAAGCTGCTCCTGGTGCTCTCTGCTAGAGCCCCTCTCCGAGGAAGGGCTGGACCAGAGCCCTGATCCCCCAGGAATGGGAATTACCCCAAAGCCGCTCCCAGCCAAGCTCATTTTCCCATTTTCCATCCTTTGGTCGCCCTCAAGTTGAGGAAATTGTGCTGGCAGAGAGCTCTGCTCCTTTCCAACAGGGATTTCTTGGAGTGGGATGAGCTCTGGGAGTGCTGCTCCTGCTCCTGCTGATGTTTTCCGGGTGCTTGGAATGGCAAAACCTTCCCCGAGCGTGGTCTGACGTCCTCCCCCTCTCCAAATTAAGTGCCAGCCCTGCCTCAGCCTAATTAAAACCAGCAAAGAGGACTGGGCCAGGCTGTAAAATTCTAGGACAGTTTTATGTGGGGCAATTAAAAGGAAGGTAAAAAAAAAAATTGTTGAGAAATTAAACACTAATTACTTTTTTTTTGTTTTGTTTTGGTTTTTTTTCCCCGTTTTTTGGCCAGCTGAGCTGTTTTGGCAGTGGGGGCTGTGAGGGGGATGCAAAAGCTGGGATGGTCGGTTCCTCGCTGCCATAAATCTGCTGGATCAAATGTTCCCCTGCTTTTGAGCCCTGTAATTCATCTGCTGCCAATTAACGTAAATCACATTTTTTCAATTAAAATTCGAGGCCTGGTGGCAGAGCCCGGTGGGGAGGGGGCGGCAGAGGCAGAGCCTGGGTGTGGAAGCGAGGTGGAAATGTCTGTTTTAAAGGGTGTGATGCCATTTTAGTGCTTTCCACATAAAACGGGATGTAAATGCCCGGGCTCTGGGGAGCCGGGAGAGCCCAGCGAGGATCCCCGGCCCCAGGGATTAACAGGGAATCCCACCTGGGAAGCCTGGAGTGATGGCAACCCCCTGACGCCAGGAGAACTCCTCTGGGATGGAATTTTCTGGCCCTGATTCCATCTTTGGGATGGGCATTTCCAGGCTGGGACTGCCCGAGGTGTCCCCGGAGCTCCGGGGAAGGTGGATCCCGGTGTTTGGGATGGGAATGGGAGCCTTGCGTAACACCTGGAATAATTGGCCTTGGATGGGGAAGGAAGCCGCTGCTTCCTCTCTCTGTGTCTGGTCTTGCTCCCGAGCGTTTTCTCTCGTGCTTGGAAAAGGAAAACAGGCAGTGAAGTGTTGGGAAAGATGGGAGGAAGGGCAGGGCTTGGAGCCAAGGGCTCCTTTTATCCCTGCAACCACCCTGCCCTAAAAATCCCCGTAAAGGCGGATAAAACCTTCCCAGGCTGGAAGAGGAGGATGAGGAGCAGCTCCCGGCCCCAGGAGGAGGAAATATTCCCTCTCCCTGCACTCCTCCTGGAGCTTGGAGGATGTTGGGGATGGGTGGCCCTTAAATCCTGGAAAATCCCCCTGGATAATTCCCTGCTGGAAGATGGAGCTTCACCTTCAGGTTCCAGGCTCTGCAGGACCTTCCTGGCATGGAGAGGACACTCCTGCTCTTTCCACCTCTCCCCGCACCAGGAGGTGCTTCCAAGACCTCTGGAGACCCCACGGCCTCATCCTGTAATTTCAATTATTCCCCAAAACCTGCCTGGGGCTCCTCGTTCCTCCAACAAGCCCCTGCAGGTTTTCCTGTTGGGAAAGCCGGGCTGGTTTATTAATATCCACAAGGTTAATTGCTGTAATTGGGAGGCTGGCTGCCCGCTGCCGGGGATGTGGGTGTGGAAAGCGCAGGAATGTTCTCCCGTGGTTATTGTGGTGATGGGCTTGTGGCTTTGGGCTCAGGTGCTGAAAGAACAATGAGAAACCCAAATGGATCTGCTCGGTTTCGGCTAAAAATACACCCGAGCTGGGGGTTGAGATGTTAATTAGCGCTAATTCACCAGCTCCCCAGGCAAAGGCGGTGATCCCCATGGCTTTGGGTTGAGCCCTCCCTCAGGGGTCGCCCCAAAGGAGCCCCAGGGATGTCCAGGGCTGGCACCAGCCCCGCTGTGAGCCCCAGCCTGGCAATGCCAGTCCCGGACCCCACCGAGGTTCTTGGCTGCAGGGGAGGATTATTCCGAGTGGAGAATGAAGCATTTCCCGATTTCCCTCCTCTCAGTGACGAGAACAGCCCTTCCCCTTGCCCAGCCAGTAGAATTCCTGTCGGGAAAGGGCAGGGAGCGAGGGGAGGGGGGCAGTAAATCTGATTTAATCGCGGTGACACAACGGAGCCCGGGGGGATTAATCTGCCCTGGCACGGGCACATGACGGGCTTAGGGCAGTGCCAGGCACGGGCATTCCCCAGCCAGGGGGTCCCGGGATGGGAAAGGGAAAACTCAGCTCTGCTCCCAGTTTTTGGGAGGGCTCGGCTTCCCGCTGGAGATGCTGGGATGGGGGCAAGGGGAGGGTTTGGTTGGAATGCCCATCCCTGGAAGTGCTCAAGGTTGGAGTGGAAGTGTCCCTGGCCATGGAAGCAGCTGAGCTTCAAGGTCACCCAAGCCAAACCATTCCATGATTTCTTGTCTCCCGGATGGATCCTGATGGAGAAACCTCTTTCCTCCTGTCACTCCATGATCTCGTGTTTCCTGGATGGATCCTGATGGAAAAACCTCTTTCCTCCTGTCATTCCATGATCTCGTGTGTCCTGGATGGATCCTGATGGAGAAACCTCTTTCCTCTTGTCATTCCATGATCTCGTGTCTCCTGGATGGATCCTGATGGAGAAACCTCTTTCCTCCTCTCCTGAGGAATATCCACCTCCCGCATGCCCCTTCTGCTGCTGTCCCCTGAACGTTTCCCTCTCTGCTTCCCACATTTCCATGCTCCAGAGTTTCCGTGCTGCTGGCACCTTGGGATTATTTTGTTCTTCCCCCAAATCCCCTGAAGGAAACTCCCCGAGGGTGTCTGGGGCTGTCATTCCATACCCAAGCCCTGAGTCAAAATGTGGGATGATGTTCTGGAGCACAACCCCGGTTTCTGTGGCTCCTCTCCTGCCCTGCCAACCCCCGGGCCTGAGATCGTTATCTGCGGTTATTTTTAGAAATTCCTGATCGATGCTGGGAGGAGGTGACTCACGGGCGGGGAAGGAGCTGCGGCTCTTCCCGAGGTGTTTTGGAGAGCGGAGCTGAGCTCCAGGGAAAGCAGCAGCAGGGAAGAGCCGTCCCGGGGGTGCTGGGAGTGCTGGGAGGGCCGCCTGACCCCTTGGATCGGGGGTTTTTGGGGCAGGCGGGCTTCTCATGGAGGAGGAGGAGGTGACAGCTCTGAGGGTTTTCCCAAAGCTCAGGTTCCAGCCCTGGCGCAGTGATCCGTGTCCTGGCGGATCAGGAGAGGATGGAGGGCAGGGCCAGCTGAGCCCCTCCTGGAGCTCTCTCTGCTCGTGGTCACAGCCCCTGGGGCCACCAGAATTCCTCATTTGGATGGAGTGATGAACCCATGGATTGTCCTCCCTTCCTGGTCCCCAAAGCCCCCGGGTGCTGCTGCTGGGACCCCCGGACAGCTCCGAGTGGCCACAGAGGCTTTTCCCCTTTTTTATTTTTACAGGAGACCCGCAGGCGAGCTGGGCAATTTGGAATTCCGCCCATTTATCCTCTCCCCTTCCTTTAATATCCCCCCGCACCCCTGGCAGGGAAAGAAATGGGGAACTTGATGTGTCCGTGAGGGAGCTGCGGCTGCTGTGCCGAGAGAGGAGGGTGATTTATCCTGACATTTCCAGGCTTCCCTCATTCATAAATCCGGCCCGGGGGGTGTCGGGCTGCCCCGGCTGCGCTCTGGAGCTGCCCGAACGCTTTGGCAGCCGATCGCAGTCGCTGCCGGCCGTGCCCCGCTGCGCCCGGGGGGTTCTCGGCAGCGGGAACCATGTGGGACACCAGAGCAAACCTGTCGGGCAGGGCTGGAGCTGCCAAATCCTCTCCCTGCCCCGGCTTTGTGAATGGCAGGCGAGGGAGGAGCCGCTCCCCGTGCTCCGGGGATGGCGAGCGAGGCTTGGTGCGCAGGAGAAGCCGCTTTGGAGAGGGGTTTGTGCAGGA